TCTAATAAAAGGAAACAAAATGCGTACGCAAAAAATTGTGGTACACATGCGGAAATGTTGTACCGGGTGTTTGATTACTTACGAATATTATTAAGATCTAGGTAGGTAATTAATTAGATTTGGACGTAATCTCGAGACAGGATATAAATTTATAGACAGTGTAAAGAAAGTTTGAGTTGGAACGAAATTATTTTCAACAATATATTCAAATAATTCAATTTATATGAGTACTTATTTGAGAGTGGTCAAACCAGAGCGTCAGGTTTTAATTTTCAGATTATAAGGGGGATAAAGAATTACGTTCCGCAAGGTTAAGAGTTCATTACTGAGCTAGCCGTGGGATTTTTATTGTCATTACAAAAAATTATTTGTTGCAGTAAAATTTTTACTAGTGACGTAGAGATTAGAATTCATTGTCTACAAGTGGGGTTTCAAACCCCTGTGAATGTAACTAACTTTCTTTAATTTTTGCTAGTTGATATTTTCCTCTAAAATGTATAGAAATCGAGTTATTTACAAATATTGAAGAAAAAACGAATTTTTTAACTTGTTTATAATTGTATTAGTTGTACAACTTTAACACGCTAACATGCTCAGTCCCTTCAACGGTGTTCTGCGTTATGCTAGGTATACGAATAATAAAAAAGATAATATTTTGGTAGGCATACGCAATTTATTCCTCTAGTTTGTAAAGTGCGGAAGGTTAAAAGAGTTTTCGTGTTAGATTTGATATGTCAGATCTTGTAAACCGTTCCATTTGTGTAATATATAATTTCGGTGTCCATGACACGTTCTCTTCGGGGTTTAAACTTGTCCTTATTTTTCTTGATAATATGTCTTCACCAGAGTCATTATTTAAGTTGTGATTTAGACCTTTCTCCATTTGTCAAGATTGTTTTTTGTATAAATCCCTTGTGAAAGAGAAAAGTTAAGACAATATGAAGGCTTTAACTTTCTCATAGACATTTTTTATGTATGAAATGTGGAGATTGATATATTGCAAAGATAAGATCGCCTTATTTTTTGGTAGATATTTATGCCTTTTTCATCTTGCCAGTCTGCTCATAGGGGACGTCAATAGGTAATGATCTATTAGTTCTACTAAAGAGGGATTTATTTAAATATTAGACGTAGATTAAGTGACACGGAAACGAAACTTTACGTGAGCTAACAATTATCTAAAATGTACTACAATTCGTCTTAAAAGTACATTTCTGTTAGGTAACTATATCGGGACGCCTGGATTTTCACTCCCCCTCCCCGTACGTAACACCAAAAAATCGTTTCAACACTCGCAATAACCAACTTTGCTCACTAATTACTTTAGAAACTTTCAGAACTACAACCTCCCCTCTCCTTCTTGAACAAAATTAAACTTTATTGCTACCATTAAATTGTACTTGTTCGTTATATACACTTATAACAGAACTTAAATCTTAGAATGTAATGGTAGAAATTGTAGATCGATTGCATTCTCCAGTAAAAAGTAGGTAGGAAAACGGACGGATGAACAAGGTATTCACAGTGACTATGTTTTTCATTTGGGAAAATGCAAGACGTTTTTTGAAGTTTGGTACATGCGAATTATGAAGTACCCAAATTCCGAAACTATGAACAAACATGTTTCAAAACCCGCGTGACGAAACTGTAAATGACGAGTAACGGGCAAATATAGACCATAGCAGCTATCAATTGGCGAAAACCCGAAGTTTCTAGGTGACCCAGGGGATTTCAAGCGCCAAAACTTAATAATTTTTTATTCACTTCAACTCGCGTAAGTAGACATCTTCTTGTTCATGCTCGAACTGAATCTTCTGAAAATGATTTATTTTGAGGGTTCAAAATGATTACTTCCATATTAGAAATAACTGAAAACAAGGTTCAAAATTGGCCAGGTACATTAACGTGATATTTCATGAGAGACGGCATGTAGTGGTGTTGAAAGGTGAATGCAGTAAAATAATTTTGGCGGCGAATCGCTAACTTCTTTTGTACTGTACTGGGATTTTCAATCGTCGAACAGACCGCAGTAAATCTTCAACAAGTCGTATGGTTTCCTCAGTTCTTGCTTCAACTCGTCTTCCTGAACCGAGTCTCGCCCTCAACGAAATTGGTTGTACCATAGAGGAAAATTGTATTTCGTCTATGGTTCTACCAATATTTTGCTTGAAAATAAGATGGACCGTTAGTACCTATACCATGAACCGGAATTATTGCTCCATTTCCCTCTTTAGTGAAGAACTGTATAACCGCATGATGCTGTAAATTAGATTAAATCATTCCTTGAAACAAAAAATACCGCCAAAACTCCCCAATCTTGTGTAGCCGTACAGATTTACGTCCGAGTATTTCTACACTTCGCAATTATTTGAAAGTCGAGCAATTTTTCATAATAAGGTAGATAATTTAAAAAAATTCCTCGTATATATGAAATATGGAAATATGAAGGAAGGTCAAAAAAGGTTCCTTAATTTAATCATAACCTTTCCAAATAAAAATGCATAACGTAAAAAATTTTACTGATTAAAGTGTTTTTATGGCTGACATAATTTAGCTTCTCGCAATAATTTAATATTTTATAGTCCATCCAAGTTTCAGTAAAATTTTATAGTTTCAGGGAAAAAAATTAAAGTTGCAATGTAAGCACAAAATTATTACCCTATCTCTAAGAATCTTTATTTGCAGTATAAAATATCGATCTTAAAATACACCAAATATTACGAGGGGTTACTCCATTGACAAAGGAAAATTAAGCGTAAATTTTACAGCGTCTTCCTTTTCCATTTGACATAGTTATTAAGACATCAAATGCGCTGCTTTACTGTACTAATAAATTCAAAAATGTTGCTTTATTAGTTCGTTCCTGTAAAAATATTAAGTAAAGCAGAATTTATCAGGGAACCTTAACAAAAACAACGTGTTCCTTTCCATTGACGATAAAACACTTATTTGTTCATTCCAAAATTTCAAATGAATACTTCTAACACGAACTTATAAATTAATATGGACTGCTAATGCTGAATTAACATGGGGGCCACCATGATATGCACTCACATGGCGCGAAATTCAAATCAACTAATAAACAAGCATTAACCCAACATTAACCTCACGTTTTCTAAATAAATTACTGTGACACATGTCATTTTCCAAGGCTGCAGTAGTCTACAAACTTGAGCACTAGGAAAATTCCCCTAGAAAATAACTAAAATGTGCACATCATGGCGGCGCCCATGCTAGGGCCATTTCTACCTCTATGCAACTGTTTGATCAGCAGTCCATCTTAATTTATAAGTTCGTGACTGCTAGCTAAAGAAATTTTATAGGTATAGTTATTTTGTCTGGTTATGTGTTTATAAGATTATATATTTACAATTTCATGGTATATACATAGTGATAAAAAATGAGTGACCGTCTAGCCACATAAGCCACCTTTGAACCGTCTTATATCCATATAATCGGTGGTCAAAGGGCACATGGAGGATATAATTCTAAAAGAAAACTTAATTTCAAGGGAAATTAATTACCACCTCGAAATCCGGCTGTTAAGCCCCAAATCAAGATGGCGCCCAAAATGGCTCAGTATAACATCCTTTTCTTATTGTAAACAAAAATATCACGATTTAGTACATACATTTTACTATTTATTACTATTTTATGAAAAAATGTGTAGCCAAAAAAATCAAGATGGCGGTCAAAATGGCAGTGGAAACTTGGGTTAACTAAGTTCTTTAATTGTGAAGAAAAAATTTGCATTGTTTTATATGGGGGTGGTACAAATTGTTTAAAATGAGTTTGTCTATCCACCATTGCTAATAATAATTTGTGAAAAAAATAAATCAAAATGGTTCCCAAAATGCCGATATTTTTATGACTTGATGATGTTTTAATAGCAAATTATTGAAATTTTTTTGGAGTGCGGAGAAGTATGACAATTTAATTTTACAATAGAACACCAAATATTGTTTACACAGCGTTTAAAACACGCGCGGAATTCCCTAAGGACCTTCTAGCACGGCGACAACGCGAATCGGATGGCTACAGATGCGACAAACGTCTGGCTTGTTTTAACTAGCTTCAAGCCAAATTCTTACTAAAGCTCCTAGCTCAACTCTTCATCATTTAACGTCTTCGCATGCTTTTTAGCGCATTTTTGCAAATTTATTTGTAAAAAGTAGCTTTTAATCTCACTTTGGCTGGCTGGTCGGCTGGCTGGCTGGCAGCAAATGTGGCCGCGTAGAAGAACTCTTGTAGAAAGGCAACGGGTGTATGTGTATCTACAAGGCCGTGTAATTTGTCAACGTTAGGGACAGGGCTACATGATGTGGGGTTGGCGACATCTGGGCGTCATCCTCGAGCGTAGTTTAATAACGCGAAGGTTTTTCAGTTTTTTCCTATTTTCTACTACAGTTTTGGCCCGTTTCGTTGGAAAACGCGCTAAAAAAGTGAAGGGTAATTTATTACCCCAATGCAATACCTTCTTTTACTAACGTGCGGGTGGTAACAATGGAGAAATGCGTGATTCAATATTTAGAAAACATAATATCTAGCATGCCGTGTGCTATATCACACAGAAAAAGACCTCGATCGTCGATCAACTTGTTCAAGGTTTCGTTTTGAAGATTTACTTTTGCACGATAGGATCTCCTGACAGCATCTGGTGAACATGAAAAATATAAGTTGCATCGATTTCTGGTTAAATCGGAAGTGCTGCCGGAAGTTGCAATATGCGATCGGATAGATCGTACTGTCGCATATAAAATTATGTTTGACAAATTTTTCGTATCTCGTCAATTAAAAGAGATACTGAAATGACCCTCTTCGAACGCACTCTATATAGTTGTTTAAAAATTTTTTTGAAACACCTCTAGATCCAATAACGTTTTGCTCAAACTCAAAATACATATTCTAGCAACGTCGTTTCCAAAATCTCACAATTTAGCTGTTTATTTTTTAAGCTTGTGGTACTTGTTTCGTAACATAATTGTTTATTTTTGTTTCAGGACCAACCCAGAAACACAGCCAAGTTGTTAAAGATGATGAGGAAGGTAAGTTACCTATTTGTGATAGTTTGACAGTTAACTAGTAAATAGATAGAGGATCGGTTATTTAGTTGTCTACATTTCTGCGAATTTTCATTTACCACTTACTTCTCCGTTCCGTCCAAATGTCCATAATTCAAGCTCAATTAAAGTTCAGTTGTAGGTATGTACATACATAAAATATGGAAAGCTATTCCTGTTCGCTAAAATATATCATTTTATATCTTGTCTCTGCATGTGCAAGCGCAAATTTTTATACCTTTGCCGATATTCACCATTTCAATTGTTATTGCAGCGTTAAAAACGTCATCCAGCAACGCAGTGCAGTAATTTCTGCGACCCTTAAGTGTGCACTAGTCTTGCAAATGGCTTAGCATAAAAATTTGATGTGCTGTTCACATTCCGCTTGTAACAGCGCACTCAAATCATCTAGACATCTGAAATTAATTATTTTCCTTTTGGAAAACTGTTTAATTTTTACGAGGATCAACTCGTCCCCATTTCACTGGGAATGACATCTTCCCTTGGCCGCAGATATAAGTTTTATCTTAATAAAACTCCGTTTGTGGTCTCTTTGTGGAGGACTTGCATTTAAGATATCATCTACAGGCTTTTTGTGAAACATTACTTTTCCAGCAAATTGTCATTTCACGTAATAAAATCTGTTTAAAGGACTGTTAAAAGTAGGACTTATTTTACAGAGCTTGATCTTTTTATCCAGCTTATTCCCTAATTTGTTGGTTTTTATCCTTTGGGAAAGTGTCGGAGTTGAACTTACTGAATCAGAAAGACTATCAGATTAGTCTTTAACTTGCCAATCTTTGAAAGTAAACTGAAATCCGGGACACGAATTTGCTCATGACTTTATTTTTCATCTTAAAAATTTCTATTTTTAGTACCCACTTATTGTTTATTTTACGAGCTTTACTTCGGAGATTCAACTTCCAAGCGTATTATCATTTATTTAAGCCATTTTTAACAATTTTTGAATGTACATTTTCGTTTATAAAGTTTTGATCAAACAAATATGGCGGATTTACTCAAATAAAGCAACTCAAACAAGACCGTTTAATCTTTTCGTTTTGTTTTATTATTCACAGAAATATATTATATTTCAATATTTGTAGAGCCTTATAGGAGTAAAGGACACTTAATTTCCTTCTTGTAATTGAAGTAATATATAAATAGAGCATATTATGTAGGTATATTCTCTGTAAGGTCAATTCGTGTGAAAGTGGAAACTGGGTTTTTAGTGTTTCCTTTTGCATTTAAAGTTATATCACCCGGTCCCAGCGCACTTCTATTTAATTATATTCAAAAGGGGAGCCCATGCCCATTGTGCCTATCCCCTTTCTTTCGCAACTAGTTCAGATCCCACCCCTCTCAATAAAGGATGACCCCGTTTATCCTAAGTTGCCTCACCCTCCACGGTTCCAGATAACTGTCGCCAAGGAGCTGATCGCTGTTTCTGATCAAAGCTTCACAATGACAGACCACATGCTCTGAAGTTTTATCTGTCTCGCCACAGAACCTGCACGTTGGCTCTCCTACAAGCCTAATGTTGTGTAGGTGGTAGTTGAGCATCCAGTGCCTCGTGAGGACACTGATCATCTTCCTATTCTGGCTTCTATTCAGTTTTAGAAGCGTAGAATTCTCAGGTTTTTCAAGGGCCCCTTTGCTTGTTGCCATCCACTTCGGTCGGTACTTGTGTGAATAACTCGGTTGGCTGCTTCTCCTCCTGCTCGGTGGCGAAGATGGATCGGTATTGTGGGGCCTTTAGCAGGGTCTTTGCTTCTTTCCAAGTGTGGACGGACTCTTTCACTCCTTGCCACCACGTTCCGACGTTTCCATGTACGGTACGGTACGATGACCAAACCTTTAATTGCTTTTTCGTCGCTGACCTTTTCGCAATCTCTTCGTTGCCTCCAATCCTCGAGGGATACTTAGAGAAGGATCCCCTTGCGCGTAGGGTTGGCGCGTTTTACTACCGGTTCTAATAGGTGTCGGTACTTGTGTGGCCGGTAGGTTTGTTATAATTGTGTTTAATCTTACTCTTAACATCGATGCCGAAGTAATAAATAGTGACAGTCGGGCTCGTGTTTAAGGGTCGGTTCTCCAATTACACTTGTTGTCGTGCAATAAATTTAATTAACTAATTAAAATTAATTAAAATAAAATTAAAATTAAGTACTTAAATGAACAACTTAAAAAATTAAAAATGTTTTAAATATTTTCTGAAATATTTAATAAAATTGGACCTTTCTGCTGAGAACCTTGAGTCGAATGGAATTGAGCTGTATCCTTTCATGAAAAATACATCAAAACGATTCCCGTCAATTAATTTAATAGGCGAAAAAGTTTGGGGTGGCGTTAGTCAAATCCATAGCGTTTAACTTTTCCGTAAACAAAACTGCTTAAGAACCAATTAATTTGGCGGTTTTTATTCCATTCCAAAATAATAGCAATAACAATAATCTCATTTGCAAAGTTTCCAACTTGCTTCAACATTTATTGCATTCGTAACGAAACGCGATGTTTTAAGCTGCAAAATAATTGTAAAATCAATTTACTCGCATTCAGCAAAAAAAAGGCGAAGGGGACGTCTTCCACGGCTTTCTATTAGAAATTGAAATCATCAATCAACGGGTTAACAAGATGGTGCAGATGCAATCATTATTCGTTTTTAACGGACACGTTTAAATTATACTGCGTTTCCCTAAATTACCCCACTGATTCTCGTGATAAATGAAAGGAAGCGGACATAAGTGCTTTTCTTAATTCCTCTAAAGACAAAATCCCCGCTATTGCTCCCTTATTTACGACATTCATAGTTCGAGAAATAACTTCAACGAGATTTATTTTGCAATAAACAAAATCCTGATGTTCAAAATATTTCTAAATAGATAGCTAACAATAACATTATGTTGTATACGTGTATAATGAATCGATTATAGGCTGCTACTTTTGTGTACTAACTTGCTTTTTGTTTGTCTAATAGGTAGGTACTCGTTTCATCGTTTTTTATGGTAAAATGCGCTGTAAAATGTCTATTCTATTTTAGATTATAATCCTTTTTATAAGCACCCAAATGAGGGTTTTAATTGGACTTTATGGCACAGAACTGTCAAAAATTGCCTAGCAACGATTACTTTAACCATCACACATTTATTATTCAGAACAATCATACAAATCACGTTATTTATAGAAATTAAAAGTGCAATTACTTGGATTAGAAATTGTAACATCACATGAATCAACACCTAATCTTGAATTTCCTTTTTTTTAAGTACCCAAGACTTCTTCAAGTCACAGTCTCAGTACCCATAGCAACACAAAAAATGCCAACTATAATCTACACCATTAACAGAGTTGGACTGGGTCACGGGGTCAACTGGGTCACCTGGGTCACTAAATTAAACTGGGTCGCTGGGTCACGTCATACTCTTTTCAGTTAGACCCAGTGACCCAGTGACCCAACTTGACCCAGTGACCCAGTTTGACCCAGGGACCCAGTTTGACTCAGTGACCCAACTTGACCCAGTTTGACCCAGTGACTCAGTTTGACCCAGTGACCCAGTTTGACCCAGTGACCCAGTTTGACCCAGCGACCCAATTTCACCCGGGGATCCAATTCGACCCAGTCACCTAGTTTGATCGAATAACGCAGTTAAGTCAGTGCCCTCGGTTCAAGTGTACAGATTATGCAATAAATGAAATGCTGGTTTGTTGAAAATAATACTNCAGTGGCGGCTCGTCAGGTGAGGCAAGTGAGGCTGAGCCTCACTTCCAAATTTGTCAGTTTAGCTACATTATACATCAAGCACTCGCAAAATAATAAATTATTACAAGAATTCTTAAAATTCTTTACAATACCTTGTAAATTACTGAAATATGTGTAAATTAAGTCAACGTTAAGCTCAAATTTCAGAGCTTAATATGTTTCATTCTTAGCGTGTGCTGCAGTGTTAAATCTCCTGATCATACTTTACGCGCTCATGAAGCTCGAATAATCGAGCCTCTTGATTTGAGTGAACATGGTCGTGTATACTCGGGCGTTCCTAACGCATGTTTCGGAGATTTGGCGAGTTTGAATTAATGATTTACGTCTTTTCGAGAATAGCACTACTTGCGATTGCCGTTAGTTTACGTGTACACTTTACAGGCATATTGCTTTGCATTCTGTATTTTATTTCCATTCAGTTCAGGGCATTCACATTCAGTCCGCAGAGCATTCGACTTTTAGTTTACGCTTACTGAAAATCTTATATTCTTATTCCATTCAATTATTCAAATTATGAATCCTCAACATGATGTTGTAATGTCTCTATTGGAAACTCCGTTTACGCGACGTAGCGAAACGGAAAAGCGAGAAATTTTAAAATTCCACCCTACTCCAAAAATAGAAATTGTTTCTGAAGATCGGAACCCAAAAGAAAAACGTACATATTCCAGAACATTTCAGTTATCTTGGTACGAATCACATAAATGGTTAAGTGGTAGTGTTTATAAAAGTAAATTGTTTTGCTGGCCGTGCCTCTTATTGGGAAATGTAAAAAGCGTTTGGAATAGAGACGGATATAGTGATTTAAAAAACTTTTCTCGAAGTGTCAAACTACTTATTTAAGGAACACTATGTCTCAAGAACGCCTTTGCGGATTAGCTTTACTATCAATTGAAAAATGTTTGTTGACCAGTTTAAGTGCAACTCCTCAATTCTATGACGATATTATTAATATGTTTGCGTGTATGAAAGAGCGTAGAATAGAATTATTATACAAAAACTGAAATAGTGTGAGAGTTGAGAGTTATCTTTGTTTATTTTTTCAGTGTGAAAATTACCTTTATTCATTTATTCTGTTATTTAAAATATAAATATATTATATTTTAAAATATATTTATTTTATCTACTTACTCTGGATAAATTATTTTTATAAACGATTTAAGAGAGAGATAATAATAGAAATATCGAATAATCTCTTTTCAATTATTTTTAAAATGGGGATGTGTGGTGAGCCTCACCTACTTCATGTCCCACGAGCCGCCACTGGTTGTATGTACCACGGGCATAATCGATTATGGCCCTCGAGAAATTAAAAGCCCTCCTTCGTCGGGCTTTAAACATTCTCTCGTGCCATAATCTTTTGATTATGCCCTTAATACATAAATAACTATTATTTTTTATTCTAAACAAAGGTAATATGTATGGTTTATTGATATAAGTATTAATTGATGCCTTGTATATAAATTAATGTCAAAGGCGTATATACGTGCCAAAAGCGTACGGAGATTATTTAGTGCTATTGGCGTACAAGGTAGGGTTGGTGAAATATCAAGTCCTAAATGGAATTAAGAAGAGTGCTATTTGCGTACAGGCCATTAACGCATCATTAACGAAGAAAGCAAGAGAAAATTGCAAATTCAGGATAAACAACTCTCGAAACTCATGCAAAACCAAGCAAAAATAGGGATCTTTTCTATAACTTTTTTGATAATTTAAAGAAAAAGTAAAATGGCTGCCAGTGAGGCGGCTGGAATCTCACCAATCGGGCAATCGCATCGATTAATTAGACCAAAAGATAACAGATTTTGTGCGATAATTATAAACGTCTTTCACCGCAATTTTCTCTGTACATACGTTAGAACTAGCGTGTAAACGTATATCATACGTCAATGAGCAGTCTAATCTATTTTTATGCAATTTTTTAAAGTTCCCAACAAACAAATGTTGTGTAGTATACGAGGTAGAATATCTGAAGGTGGCAAAGTCGGTTAACAATTAGTCTGTATGACAGTGCAGCGAAAAGATCATCGAGATACCGAAGAATTCATAACAATTAACAACAAATACAAAAAACGTAATAACCAATCTGCTTAGAAAAATAAAAAATAAAAAAATACGAAGAATAATAAGATAAAAATAGGGAAGTAGAGGGAGACAAAAGCAAAAGGGACTCCTTACTGCTTTATGAAGCGATTGAAGAGCATGAGGAAATTCAAGAAACAATTTATTCTACCATCAATGAAACTGTCGAAATCACACATAGAAAATGCCATTTAAAAAGAAATCGTCGCCATTGCTAATCAGCTAATTCCGGAAGATGGCACGAAATTGTTTCCGATCGATAACTGTCGGAAATTAAGGGCAATTATAAATTTAATAATATATGAACATGAAAATGAGAATTTTGATAGGATAGATTACCGAGGTTAGAAGAGAAAACTCTATGTTCGATAATTTAATTGCTAAATTAAAAATTGAAACGAGCATGTTCGACGGTAAAATTAGGAATAAGTTCAGTTATGCTTAAGTAGCAAGTAAAACTGCATCGGCCAATAATGTAATCGTAACCACACCTTCGTTCGAAAGCAATTATGCAAAATTTAGCATCAGCGTCTCACTTATTGATGACAAAGTATTGGCGGAAGAAGTGACAAAATTATTAAGAGAGAATCAACCCTTCCGAACATAAAGTCACAATATTAAGAATATAATACCGACAAGATTGGGAGTAATTATCGATTGCAATAAAAAAGAAGAAGCGGGAAAGCTGTCAAAAATCATCGGCGAAAGCGCGTGAGACGTAAGTACTTCATGGAAAAGAAACAAAAAAATTTGCAGGTACCACCCGCGCTTACACGATTCTGCCCTTTTATGTCTAAGAAGAGAAGAAATTCAGAAGGGGCGGTCGAGGAGCAAATCCTTATATTGACGTAATTTTGGAAGTGCGTTCGTTCTTAAGAAGAGAAATTATAAATCGAGAAATATATTTGGGTTGGAGTTCTCATTTGGTTGACCACTATCAGTATTGACTTGTTACAAATGCTGGGGCATCAGCCATATGTCAAAGGCTTGCAAGGAGTCTGAGGAAAGCTGCGGAAGATGCCGTGAGAAAGGACACAAAAGAAATGATTGTTCAGCGAATGTACCGACATGAATGGAAAGTAGGTTGCACATGGAATACCACTATAGACCTTCTAGTTCTAGTTCCTTCTAATGCAGATATTCCAGTACTGAAATGGGACCATACCCTTTCGGGTCGGACAGCATTTATTTAGCCGCCCTCCCTCCTCCCTACAACCTCCCCAATTCACAAAATCCATCACATTGTTTGGCATATGTCGCGGTGCAACGCAATGGCAACAAAACTGGTGGAGATGCATCCCTGTTGGTTGCTACCACATCCTCATGACAGTAAATTCTGGGAGAGGCGGCTACACTAGGCATATGCTAAAGTATCAAGTATCAATGTTGCAAAGCCTACTCGTAAAACGCGTTATCTGTTATTTTCAATATCCAGTCAATATACTACATGTTTATTGGCTAAGCAATGATATGTAATAAACCATCGCGTTCGATGCATGTAAACTTACAAAACTTCATTAAAAAATGTACATGGTGAAATTTTTTTTAATTTTGAACGAAATCTGCAATTTTCTCTCGCTAATTACACGCCTTCTTTAATGTCGTGTACGGCTGTACGCTGTACTCTAACTTATATTTAAAAAATCCGCTACAACTGAATACCAAACGATGCTCGAGATCTTCACACATACATCATTTTTACAATACACCCTAAGCCTAGGGGGTTGATTCTGTCCCACCTGTTCACCATAGCTTGTAACACAAATTTTTTGAAATGGAATTAGTTTTACTTTTATTTGAGGTGCCTGCATACAACATTTCATTTAAATACCTTAACAAATAAAAGAAAACCGACTGCGCATGCGCAAAACAAATTTTTTGATTTGGCATTAGTTTCACTTTTATTGGAGGTGCCTAGATACAGAATTTCATTTAAATATATTAACAAATAAAAAATTAGGGTTGCGCAAATACAAAAGTTGTTATGCGCATGCGCAGTATTTGTTTGCATCTGCATAGTTGCCTGAAGTTTAAGGAATATTTACTAACACAGAAAACCGGACTTTCATATGTTCTTTGTAACAAGAGTTAGAAACCCTTTTTGGAGGTTTGCGCAGTTTTTGGTCTGTAACTATTTGGTCTACGTAGCCGAAAAACAATTGTGAACTTTGTTATATCCTGAAAAACATGTGTATATCAATTTAGATCGACCAATTCAATTAAACCGATCAGCTTAATGAAGAATATGGGAAAAACATGGCGGATATAGAGCATATGACCACACTGTCTTTATACAGTCACTGTTAATGGATCGATATTAATTACAAGGCAAAAATTTTGCGCATGCGCACAGCGTATCGCACATGTGATCAGCTAGCTTCGTCTTTAGCCAGCAGAGCCATAGTTTTTTTTTAAAGGATGCCGCCTGAAAATTTGTTCAAGTGTCCAAAAAGGGCCTATAATCAGCCTATAATTCTGATGTATTTCGTCCTTCATTTTTCTAAAATGGCTCTGCTGGCTTGTGGGACCTGAAAGATCACATTAATCTATAATACTTCATTGAATGCATGTAAAATTTTGAAATGTAATTTTTTTTAAAGAAGAGTACTCTGATGACGAAGAGGAAATGGAAGGTATGCTTGAACCAGAAGAATCAAACTTCAAATTTGACGACTTTCTGAAGAGGTACTCTATTAATCTTTTATTAATAAAAAGCAATCTTTGAATGGTTTTAGGTTTGCAAACCAGAGAGTAATCCAAACGTGCGCCTACGCTCTTCAAAACATTGAATGGAACTCCGTATATACGAACTACTGCATTATAAAACTGTTACATCGCATTGTTTGGGATTTAAAGATGGTTGGCATGGTGTTTCAGGCATCAATTTTTCGAACTTTTCAGAAGGCTTACACTTTAAAAGACCTTCCGCAATTTAAGGTAAACCGCATATCACGTTTCATTGTTTTAATAAACCTTATAGGAGATTATTACATTTGCAACCTACGTCTTAAGGCAATTTTTTAAGTTGACTGAAAAGAATCCGAAAGTTTTTATGGAAACGCTTTTCTGGAAATCCAGTCGTGATGCCTTTGACATTGAAGAAGGATATGGCAGCTATCATGAACAGTAGGTATTAACCCTCCCGAATCCAATCGTTCAACTTCCTTTTAGGACTAAAGCTGAAGCACAAGCATGGAATGAAACTCAAGAAATGGAACTTACTCAGTTGTTTAATGAACACCAAGAAAAAGAAATAAGGGAAGATGTCGTTGATTGGATTGTAAATAATCTTGTAGATAATACAAGATCTCGCAGAGCTGTTTTGAAAAAGCTAAAGTCCATGTCTCTGTTATCTAACTATAAAAAACACAAAGCAGGTGTAAGTAGATCTAATGTGTGGACAGAAGAAGATGAACAACAACTGCGGGAAGCATATGAGATGTCTAGAGAGGATGCTAGTAAATATTACTTAATCTAAATCCTGTGAATAAGTAACATTAATTTTAGATCCCATTGAATCTATTAGCAGTCGGTTGTTGACTCAGCGTGCGAAAACTAAGATTGTTGCAAAATTGCTAGAGATTAATCTTATACAGAACAAGAATGAGGTTGTTAAAGGAAAAAATAGGCTGCGGATGTCTAAAAATGAAGGTATGCAAAATTAACCCTTTTGAAATTATGTATGCCATTAGGGTAGGTTGCTATTTAGTCACATTGGACTTTTCAGATCGGTCTAACCATAGCAGTGTATCTGAGGATAGTGATTCAAGTGCAGATGAAAGTACTGCCCCAAAGATTATAAAGAAAAGGCAGCCAACGACTCAAAGACCATCTACGAAGACTAAACAAAAAATAAAACGCAATCCACAAGTCCATGTTTCCAAAGAGAAACTTGTGGAGTTACTGCGAAAAGTAGTTCACATGACTGACGCTTTAGAGTGGTTACATGAAAGCTTATCAGATATATTAGAGGATAGGAAAGATAGTAACGAAGAAGTAGAAGAAGATATACCTTTAGTAGCAATTATGGACTATTCCACAACGGCCATAGAAGACAAAGATTTCCAAAATCTTCTCAGAGCATTGCAGATTAGGGAACCAGCTGACGAACAAGTTAGTATTTAATCCTAGGTGGTAGTAAAATTGTTATTTGATTCTGATTTCAGGAAAGTCATTGGCGAATTTTAGGGAATTTATCGAGTTCCGTATTGGAAGAGTATTGTCAACTTTTATCAGATGCTATGGCAAATAATCTACCAGATGTTAATGCGCCCACTGAAATTCCAAGTGCGCACTCTGACTCTGAGGAGGATGTTTTCGATAGGGTTAGAAAAATAACGTCAAATAATACTGCCATTGAAGTGGTGGATGTTCTACCAAGTACAAGCACATCTGCTCCTGAAGACCCAGTTATTAGTGAAACGAAAGACAGTCAAAATGTTCAATCTGACTCTGATGATGATGTCTTCGATAGAGCGAATAGAATTAGAAGCGAAAGTGATGACGGTAGGAGCCCTAAACGGATTTCAATCTGTGATGATGAAGGCGATGAGCACTCTCAACATGAAAAGGTGAATAGAAAACGTTATATTATTGAGAGTGACGAAGATGAAGAAAAAAATGAAAATAAACGAGAGAGAAATGCTTCAGATACAGACAGTCCATTGAAAAGTAAAAAGCGAAGCAGATTTATCTCAAGCGATGAGGACAGTTCATAAAGAATTTTGTTGTCATTTGACATTTCTTTACTTTTCTAAGGTTAACTTGTCATCCTTGGGGAATTACCATTTTTAGTTTTTTTCCCTTTATATTATGTTCGTTTAGTGTAGAAGAAATTTATATTTATTTGATCATAAAAGTGAAGAGAAAAATGTTTTTTTTAGTTTTGTAAATGAACACTTATCACCTCTTTAAAACCACATGCCTCCCTTGTCATGCTATTTCGTTGCTATCTTACTAAATGACCTTTTTGTTGCTCTCCTCTCCCCTGTGACCCTAGATTTCCTGTTTCACATTTGCTTTGGTAAGTTTGGTAATATTTTGCATATCCCTCTCATTGTAAAATTGCCTGTATTCTAACAAGGGCTGCTGCATATCACTTGGGAGATGTTGGCATGGATCTAATAGTATACCTACTTCAAATTAATATTACACGGTACTTAAAATTTCCATGGCCTTCCTTGAATCAAAATTTTGTTGCTCGCTTAGGGAAAGGATGGGAAAGCTCTAGAAAGGCGCATGCGCTCAAAAGTACTTTATAAGGATGTCATGTTTAACATACCTCTAAACCTGTTCAAGTAGTTTCCTGGAATCAGGTGAGGCTAAAAAGGATGCAAAAACTGGTTAGATAAAGCACCGTGGCACTTTGTGCCTTTATAATTACACTATCTATACTATTTCCACATTTTTCTAGTTTATTTTACGTAACGTTTTAGGTTGCATTCCGGGGACTTCATATGTATAGCACTTGAGAGCCTTATTTGCTCTTTTTAGATGAAGAAGGGGTCTAAAGTTCCAGAAAAGCCTTTAAATGGGCCATAAGAAACTGTGAAACTAATTTAGCGGGCTTTCAAAGAACCTAGACAGTTCTGGCAGGGACCTAAGACGACCAGATATGTGCTTAGTCACTGTGGGGAAAATTTGGTTTGGAAGCGCTCAATTTAGATTACATTCGCGGGTCTTAAAAAACACCTATGGATGTCTGAAAAAGGCTTTGAGGTTTCTTGAGAACTCTCTCTTACACATTCTCTTCAGAGTTAAGTGTAACCCTCCACACCATTCCATTGCTTTCCTACAGTTTTGGGGAACCTTCTTCGCATTATCAGACATTTCTACGTTTGCCTATCTCTGAATAAGATGTAGAAAGCTCGTGAAGGCGTTAAAAAGGTTCTGCAAAGGACCTAGAAAGCTGTGAAATGCACGTATGGGATTCTGGAAAATACCCTACTTAGGGTTTTTCTGTAGGTAGCTTTCAAGTGCCTTTCATTTCCAAAGTTTCCGGACAGTTTATAAAGCAATCGAATGTTTTTCTTCTAGACGCTTTAGCTAAGCTCACTTAGCTCTGGAAAGGAAACAACGCTGGCAAGGTGCCAAAAATTCTCTTTTAAGTTCTGTATTGCACGTAAGCATTGCATAAAAAAATTAAGTTTTTTTCAATCACGCAAGGGAGCTGGAGAGCACGAGAATGCTCTGGAAAGCCTTCAATATTTCAAGAAAACTTTCGAATGTCTGATGAAAAGTGCCTAGATTCTGGATTTGAAAATGGCTATATCTACCTCTAAAAAGACCTAGACCTAGAAAACCTCTGGATATGGGACAGAAAGGGTATATCCACTGAGTCGTAAATTCTCTGTATGCATAGGGATAAAAATTTTATCTGTGGCTATAGAAAGTCCTTTTCAGGGCATTTTCGAGATCTTTTTAGGCCGTTTTCAGAGCATTCTAGATCGCTTTCACTCAGATTTCTACGCTCTGGAAAAACTACTGGGAAGTTTTCCATTCTATATTGCGTTCGCACCTCCAGATGCAGTATGGGTTCTTTTGGACTAAATACTTCTCTTACTAATATGCGTCATTTTTCGATGACGCTATCCTTGTTCCGCACCGCAGTGATGCTAAACTGACTTATAATGGAATTGAAGAATTAAAACACAACATAATAATATCGTTATGCTGTCATTATTGTTACGTTTGTTAATAAGTTTGGCAAGCATTCACTGTATGTCCATTGTCCATAAGCATCATACTGCATCTGGAGGTGCGAATGCGCTATAGCTGTCAGATATACAGAATACTACGAAAATTTGGAAGAGATATAGAAAGTAGGTACTAGCAGGCCATGAACAACCATGGAACCAATCCAGAATCGGTTTCAGTATTTGATAAATGCTTTGTCAAGCATTTCAGATCCTTTGCAGAACTTCTCAGGTCTTTACCGCGGGATTAGACAAGATGTTTGGAAAAGCTCTCAAACCTTTAAGATTCCCTAAAACCCTTCCCGTATACCACGTAGTAGCTCCAGGGTACCGCTTGCGCGTTCGTCGGAAACCGGGAGGGGGTCGCCCCCTATATGTTATAAGCCTACTCTGTTTAGTTATAGCTCTGCACTGCCTTATTAGTTCTTCTTTCTTTCCCTTTGTCGTCTTTTGAACTGTCTGGTCCTTGCCAGTCGCGTGAGGAAAGCGTGAATAACTGCTCCAGAGGTTCCTTACCTATTCTCCATCATCAAGTTCACTATGTTATGCGGTTCTATTCTTGTACGGTTCCGGGCCTCAAGTTTCGTCCGTTTTGCTTCCCGTCTCGGGCACTCAAATACCGCGTGACCTACACCAGCGCTGTCTAGGTCTCGCCAATCAACACACGGTCCTCTCTCTTCTCTTAAATCTCATCAGCTAGGCGCCGTTCTCATCGTGTCCTGTCAAAGATTGTGCGAGGTAACTATCCATCTCACCATACTATACATGTCACCTAACCTTTTACATCCTGGATTTGTGTCTTTGTCCAAGACTCTCGTGTCGTGTGCACGCCTCACGTTTTGCCATGTTTAGTGTTTATTCGGTAAGGCCATTTTTGCGCCCCACACTAGGGACGCCGCATTAATTTTTAATTTAAAGTGTCTAACGAACTAGTTACCTAAAAGAGACATTATGTGTATTGCAATTAAGGTTTGAAATTGGCATGCGATTGTGACAAAACGAATATTCCCCGTACTTACATCCTGCCAGGGAATTTTGTAACAGAATATTCAATACAGCAAAGTCAAGGAATATATTAATAGTGTGTTGTCAGTATATTCATTGCTGAATATTTCTGGAATATGGCAGACGAATGTATATATTCATAGAACATTCTATGGGTATTTGGAATATTCACATAATTACATTCTCGCCTAGCATGTTAAAAGAATATTCTAAGAATCCAGGTAGGTATAAGTAGGTACCTGGGCAATATATAGCCATATAGGTACAGGTACCTAATGTTGATCTGCATACAAATTCGTCGTCGCGTACAAATCTGACAAGATTATTATGACAAATTTGATATTATTCACCCTGAGTAAGGTTTGCGTATCTCTGTTTCGACTTCTATCTACCTTCTCAGCTAAGGAAGGTGTGATGATAGCCAGTTTTCAATATTTTTATAACCACTTTTCAGTATATGTTTGAATATCACTTCATTTATCGCAAAACCATCCAAATCTATCGGAAAATTGATAGCTAATTCAATATTTCTCTTCAAGAATTTTCCAGTATTCTAATTTCAAAAGTTTTGCACGAATGAATAACCTTTTGATTTTCAACGTGGTAGAAGAACACGTATAAGAGAAATGCTTCTATATTTCCAGACAATCCATCCACTTGTGCCCAAATATCTTGTGCAACATGGGCAACTACTGAACAATTTGTTATCGAACCCCCTAATACCTACTGACTTTGAACTAACTATAAGTAAAGCGGATTGCTAGTTCCATTACCTTCAAATTTCAAAATTCGTTTCGTATAGTATAGTAATATAATGCTACCATAAATAAAATATTTCGCACAAAAATGTTTCAAAATCTATGAAACTACATACAAGATACTAGCTAGGTAGGGACCGACAAGAAATCCAAATTCCAACTTTTTAGGGACAAATTATCCAAATAATTTGGATTGTTTTCGTCAAGATATCCAATTTTTATCGACAAATTATTCAAATCCAAATAAAGCGACAAAATATCCAACCAATTTGGAAACTCCGATTTGGATATCTTGTCGGTGGCGGGACAAGATATCCAAATATCAAATTTTTTTTAGACAAGAAATCCAAATTTTTTGGACAAAATATCCAAAAAGTTCGGAAATGTTTTGACAAGATATCCAAACTTTTTTAGACAAGAAATCCAAAAAGTTTGGAAAGTTTTCAACAAGATATCCAATATTCGAATAGATAAAGGTACGTCGCTTTTTTAGGTAAATATGTAAATAACTATTTGCAGGTAGTCATTACATTGCCTGCCTGTGGGAAAAGAACATTCGAAAGATGTACGATGGTTTGAAGTCAAGTTTAGCCCCGCGCCTTAATTATACTTCACAGACCACGGAAGTGTTGAGAGTAGATTTAAAATAACTACGCCTATGGCATTCATGAAGTTAGGTAGTTGTTAGAAGTAACCTAAAATGTATTCCACATGAATCATCTTTTTTGTCAAAACGTGTTCTTAACTTTTTTGGTAATCGTTTTTGTAGTAAATGTATTAAGTTCACACAATCTTCTTCTTCTTCCTTCCACAACGTTCCTGCCTCAACCAACAGGTTATGGGCCCAGGTGTCGGTGTCCGCTAAATAAGTTATCGGAGTTATCGTTTCACGATGTCAATGTCGACTGCTTCAATTCCCCCTATTGAGAAGCTGAAAGGCCGGGAGAATTTCGATACGTGGAAATTCGCTGTTAAAACTTATTTAGAACATGAAGAACTGTGGGATTGTGTGAGTGGTAAAGAGCAAGACGCGAAGAAGGTCATGAAAGCCAAGAGCAAAATAATCTTGCTAATCGAGCCAGTAAATTATGTTCATGTCCAGTCTGCAACTACAGCCAAGGAAGCTTGGGATAATCTAAACAAGGCGTTTGAGGATAATGGATTGACACGTCGTGTAGGACTTCTCCGCACACTGATCACAACACGGTTGGAAAACAGTAATGTTGAAGAGTATGTCAATAAAATAGTCAGTACAGCACATAAGCTTTCCAGTGTGGGTTTAATTGTAAGCGATGAATGGGTTGGTACGATCCTGCTCGCTGGCTTACCAGATGAATATAAACCCATGATTATGGGCATCGAAAGCT